TAAGTCTTGAGCCAGATGAGCAGGATTTCACTTCAGCGAGGGCAAGTTATTACCCGCAACTAGGAATCATCCCCTACACAGGGCATACTGTGCCATTGTCCTCTACCCCTATATATCATCGGGTCTGACCAGCCCATTTACACCATGATGATCTGACAAGAGATGAGCGAACACTTGGGCATGAACATGTGTGTGTGTGTGTATGTGTGTGTGTGTGTGTGGGGCAAGGTAGAAGCAGGAGGGGAGTTGGGGAATCCAATCTCTCACACAGAGGAGCAGAGACAGGCGGGCAGATACGCTCCAAGCCCAGAATAACCCTGGCGGTATCCATGAATGAAATGACAGGATTACAGGGGTATTAGAAAACCTGCTGAGATGGTTGATAATGCTGTTTATGGTTGGGCGTCACACTGCTTCCAGGGAAAAAGTCAAACTGTTTGACTAATGAAAATATGGACGAGCTCCTCACATATTCACTGAGCAGAAAATTCAAGAACAGGGGTCTCCCTTTCCCTGAACGGCAATGGTTTGATGTCGGCCACTTGACAGGCATTAACACAAATATGTGAAGATTTACGTCGCCTGTATTATTGTCACAGAACCTCTTGAAATGGGGACAGTAAACATAAGCCCCACTATCCTGGTGTAAGAATGGGATTATTGTTGTGTCAACAAACCCCATAGATAATAGTAATTACTGCCCTAGCTGCAGCGCCATCAGACTGAGGCAACTTCGCTAGCTGACAGCTTGGTCCTAATTACCAAGAACCACCAATTACGGGCTCCATTTCATTATTTATATTGCACCGCACACCCAAATAAAAGAGACTTCAGTGACTCTGAGCAGTCACATCTCTGGCAGCTGCAGAGGAGCATCCAGAGGACCTGCTGAATCATTCTCTCATAGTATTTTTTTCCCTAACATATACCACTCAACCACCAATGCAAAGTAAAAATAGGAAACTGAAGCCAATATGGTGCTTCCTTTTTGTCAGCAACAGGAAGTAATTTAGCAGCAAAGGAAGCGCATTATTATCTCTTCTTTTCCCCGACTCGCTCCTGCTCGTTTATCTGCCAAAGGGGCTGCAGGATCAATTCGAAAACATCAGCCCTGGAGCCTTTTAACTACTCAAACAGTTTGTATGTTGTATCTACGTTCATATTTCATTCATTCCACTATGAAGTCTGTTTTTAAAAAAATAACTGACTCATCTGCCAGCAGTGTAAAAGATGCCATCAAAAAAATAATAGTAAAAAATATATGTAAAAACAAAATTCTTTATCGGGTGACTGTATTCAACCATGCGCGCGCACACACTGACTTTCACAGATGTTTCCCATCACCCTCTGCTGCCAAGCGGCGTCCAGTGATGAGTGAGAGGAGGGGAGCAGCGGCTCAGGGCGGGGGTGTGAAATTCTGCTATTCCTGCTCCAGTGAATTCTGCAGAAACTTGGCAGATCATTGTGGAGATTTGTATGTCTGTGGATTTGACATGAAACAGTTTGAGAGTCTCGTCTGGAATCTGTCTCTCAACGTGCCTTGCCTTAAAGTGGGCTTCGCTGTTCAGCTTATGTTCCCATAAAGCCTGACGGCCACATTTCTCAGCCCCCAAGGGTGCAGATGGGACGATTAACTCAGCAGACAGGTCTCATACCATCATCTGAGAGATAACCATTACAGTACCTTGTGGCTTCAAAAAAAAGAAAAAAAAAAAAAAACATGTCTCTGAGTAGAAGCCCATAATCCTCAAAACAGACGAACTAAACATAAAGCATCTGCATCATCTATACAGATTTCTGCAGCTGTACACCTTGTTGATTAACAAATGATGATTCAGTGCAAATTCAATGATTCGCAAAATGAGCTCAAACAGAGGCTCACGCTCAGCAAGCTATAAAGCATGTAAACTATCATGCTCCAAAAAAGACAAGCAGTCTTTAAAAAAAAAATAAAAAAGAAACACAAATAAGTATGTACAAAAGGAATCCTCCGTGGTGATCCAAAGCGCTTAGCATTTAGATGACAGCTGCACAGGGCAGGCCTTGTTTGCAGGGGCTGGAGTGGAGCAGTATATGTGGCCCGGAGGCCGGATCTGTTCCAACTGTGCCCTGGCAAGAAAACGTTCAGCCCAGTCAGCCTCGACAGCTTGGATATTCACAGGGGGCGATGGAAAACTGGAGGGCTGCAGAACCATGTAGGAGTTGGGGGAGCTTGCAATAGGAAGGGCAGGGGTGATGAGTCAAGAACAAGGTGTTTTATATTATTTTTGGTACCGCAAGGACGTGGCATTTGCCATGTTCGATGAGCAAAAACCAATCCTGTGCCGGCGGTGAGGGCCTTGTGTCTGCGTTGGCCTGCAGTGATTAAGTTTATCATCTGGCAGGTGTTTCTGGAGGGAGTAGCAGCATTTTTAAACCATATTTACACATTCTGAAGGTGTCAGAATGAAATACCTCGCATTCGTGATGATGAATTTTTAAAGCCCAAAAATTGAATGTACGTTTATCACCGTGGAGAAAACTAAACAGGAGTGATTCTCTGAGGCTCATAAGAAGAAAACACACAGCGGGACCATGAAGGTATTTGAACACATGCATTTTTCCCACCCTGACCTTACCATAGCAGTGGGCTTCAGATTACATGACACATTGTCATCTGACAAACTACTGTGACAATTTCAGAGTTTCAATAGATCACAGGCAGTAAAGTTAGGATCATCACTTTGATTTAGTGTGACAAATGAATTATTCACTCTCATCTCTGGGGATGCATACTTAAATTCTGAGTCATTTTGAATATCATAGAAAGGACTTTTGATGTTGGACAGCTCTCTCCTCGCTTGATTAACCTGAACCAACTTCAAAAGTGCCACAGTTTGGGTATCGCCATCAGCAATATTCTAAACAAATGTGGAGCTTTTTCAAAAAAACAATATTTTCTATGAGCGTTCTCTTTGAAATATTACGTGTCAAAGGTATTACCATCCATTAAATGGCCTTGTTTACCTGTTTTTGCTGAATACTTCAAAGAAACACAATTAAATTGGTAAACGAAAAGGAGTATCTCACATAAGAATGCGAGAGCAGCTAGCTGGCTGCGCTGATTAACATTCAAAGTATTTAAAAGTAATGCAGTAGATTAAAAGGTCAGTGTTGCACAAGGGAATAGAAAATCATAAACTCCACTCTCACTTTTGCAAAAGAAAAGACAAGCAATGTTTGTTTCATTTGTTTGTCCCAGTGCATCCAAATTCATTCAAGTAGCTCATTGCTCAGAGGTTGCACCAAGGCAAAGCCCCATGGTAGAAATGATTGACACCTCCTAATCCACATGGATACCAAAAAGCATGTCATTACCATGACATTTACACCATCTTCTGGGATGTGAGACAAAGTTTACGAGCAACAAAGGGATGTAAACAGAGAAAACTCTAAAAATAGGTAGTGTGAATGTATAATGTGCTGTATTTTGAGTCACAAGTGCAGCTTACGTACTTTGAGCAAAGGCATCTCTCCTCACAAGTTCTATTAATTCAGCAAAGCTAAAACAGCCACCCTAGCCTACATTTCAAACAAGCCATGCTGTGTTTATCTTTAACACCAGTAGGCAGACAGGCTGGCTGGCAGGCTACACTGAAGGAAATGTGAGGGAAAGTGGAGCACAAGAGTTATGACCTAAGCAAACAGCTGATTACGGCGAAGATGAGCGAGAAAAGGAGTCATCTGTCAAGCTAAGCACTCCACAGATGGACAAGTGTAACACCCTAGGAAACCAGCAAGTCCTGAGGCTTTGTGGCAGCTCTGGGATTTAAAGTACACCACGGAAACAGTTTAAGATGGAGTGATGAACAGTGGGTAAACCCAAATACATCATTTGCATTTACATGTTATTATTGCTCACCTTTTTCATTTATCTCATTGACTGAGTGAGTCATGGGGAATGTGGTTTCTCCACTCTTTAATGAAATGTGAACAGAAGAAGTTTTTACAACTGTCTGTATAAAAGTGTTACAGTAGCAGTTTCTTGCTGGGGATAATCATTTAATGAGCATCAGAGCTGATTTAATTACTCACATCCCATAATAAACAATCCTGAAAAAACCTACTGGTGTGCAAATAAAGTTTTGACAGAATGTAATTTATCCCAACTTGTAGGCTAAGACTTGACTTATAATTGGACCATTGTTTCTTGACATATAGAACACAGTGTTGACCATTTACTAGCCAGCTATGTTCCACTTCTATTAGCACAATAACAAAACAATGTTACTACTGGTGTACTGTGGCACTTGGGTGCAGAGCGCTGCCTGCATAGCTCCCAGGTGAGATGGTCAACTATCTGTTGGGTAGCAGAGCTATTGCCTCAATGCCTTCCCTCTGCTCTGCACACCCCATCTGCTCAGTCCTTTCCCTGGAGCTCACTACTGCTTCTTTACCTCTGCTCTTGCACTGACAGCCAAACAATTGGAGTCGGGACTGCCTTAACGAGTAGAAAGAGGAGGCTCGACTAATTAGAGACACCCCCGTGCCATCGCCTCGGTCAACAGCGTGATGCAGCTTGGCCAGAGCTGGGACTGTTGGCCCCATCGTGAGAGAAATAAGGGCTGGAAGTTGTTTTTTTCTGGAGGCTGGCCAATGGCGGACCATGGTAATTGCCCAAATCCCACTGTGGCAAGTGAGGACAAAGAGTGTGAGGGCAGCGTAAGCCAAGGAAAGTGAGAAAATGCTGGGACTAAGTGTGGGAATGAAAGTCTAGCAAAGAAAAAAATACAGAGAGAGAGAGGAAGAGGAGACAGACAGAAGTTTAGAAAAATGAGGTACAAAAGATAAATGTTTGTAAGACCATTACAAAAACTTGGTATGACATGCAAGACTGGCGATCCAGAAAATAGCCGGAGCCTGAGGACTCTTCTTTGCACAAAAATAGTACAAGAACAGAGAAAACTGGCCAAAGCACAGGGAGTGTAAGTGAAAATAAAATGACCTCGGGTGCTACTCACTAGGGAGAGGCCGGCAGAGGTGCAGCGAGCGTCTTGGCTGTTGGAGTAAAACAGAGTAGGGTGCAGCGGTGGCTGCACAGTGGGCGCTCACTGGACACTTCAATCACAGGCAGCCGGAGCCCCAGGCGAACTTGGCCAATTAGCCGCACACTGCCGCTGACCCCCAGCTTCATTAAGGGCCTGGGCTCTGGATAAGGGGAGAGAGGAGAGGAGGTGGAGAGGATTAGGGGGTGAGAGAGTAAACTGTCAGCACTGGCCAGGTTTGAGAAGACACACACACACATGCATTTGCACGGATACACATGCTAGAGGTGAAGCTCAAGGTTACAGATAAACACAAATCAACTGTGAGAGCGCCCCATGCCACACAAATACACACTGAGCGAAACCCACTCCCGAATTCCTGGGGGTTTACACCCGCAGCAAAGGTGGTGGTTAGGGGTTAGGAGTCGTAGAGGCCAGAGGGCATCGGCCTCCCCTCTCTCCTACAACGCTGCAATGACAGCAACAGGTGTGGTGGCCGGCAGACATGCAATTACCAGGCTGAGAATCTGCTCTTTGTGACAGAGACAACAGTAGATCAGAGGCAAGATCAGAGCTAGAGGGGGAGAGAAGAGGAGCGAAGTGGGAGGAGAAGTGAGAGACGAGGAGGAAAAGAGAAGGATACAGACTAGTGAAAGTCCCTGGAGGGGAGAAAGAGAGAGAGGCAGAGAGATTTCCAGTCGGCTCTTTTCATCGCAAATCCCTCACCAGCAGAGCGTAGAGCAAAAAAAAAAAAAAAACAGATCAAAAACTAACACATACAGTAGCTATGACACACCTGTTGTTGTGCAGTAGAAATACAAATTTACACACTTTGGTGGTCTGGAGAGACCTCACATACACGTGTGCACAGCACTGAGACAATGACGAAAACATCCCATTTCAAATCAGGCTGGGTGGGGCTGTTCCGGGTGCTTTGGGACAGGTTGCGCTCAATGAGCCCTGACAGCAAGACTGTTTGGTGTATGCGTGTGTGTTTGTCTGCATTACAAGTGTGTACGTCCACATGGGACCTCTGTTTGCATCAGCCTTGCAATGGAAACCTCAGCGGTGATCCAGGAGCGGGGGTTGCAGATTCATACACTCCCTTCTTCATTTTCTCTCTCTCCCTCTCCGATTACAGCCCTTCGATCAGACTAAAGTAATGTTTGTGAGCTTTGCCGCCAGTGTAGCAATAACTGCTGTCAGAAAGCCTGCATGCTTGGGTGGAGAGGAGATACTGGTCCTTTATTTAAAACAAGCCAAGGATAAAAGATCAATGGCCCAATTCAGGCCATGAATTGGAGGGAAAAATTCACAAACATAGTGGTAGATTATGAGAGGGAGATATATGTGTGCACGGGGGGGAGTGGAGAGCAAGGGGGCATCTAGCTCATCTGGGTGCTAGTGGCTTATTGATCGGTGGAGACACACAGCTCCAAGCCATTCATCACAGGCCACTCTCAGGCCCTTAGATAACTCCTATGATAGTGCCCTGCTGCTGAGCAGCTGCAACTGGCCACATCCATTATCCTTCAAAGTAAGCCCCCTAGCCTGGGAACAGGCATGGAGGGGCTGCTGGGTGACAGGCTGGAGGGAGGGCTGGAATGGAAATGGAAAAGACCAGGCCTGTGGTTAAGAGCCTGTGGCTGAGACTAGTGTATACAAAGGCAGGAGCTGGGGTTGAAGGGCCAGGATTTTATGAAAAATGGTGCTGTGACAGCCACAACAGACATGAGAAACTGTCTGTTTGCACCAGTAGGAGGGGAAAAAATGTGACGGCACTATTGTTTCCATTTCTTGGCCAAACAGCATTAGCAAAGCTGTTTTATAGCAGATAGCACACAAACCATCCAAGTGACAGGCAGCTCTGAAAACTGCTGAGTGGCTTCGTATGTATGTGTGTGTGAGGAGAAGTCCCAGATTGGGCAGGTGGGGATCAGCCATAATGAGCCATGCAGGGAGGAAAGAGAGGGAGTGAGGGCAAAAAAAAAAATAGAAGGGAGGAGGCCAAAGAGTGCGGGAGAAAGACAGAGTGAGAGTGATGGAGACGGGCTCAGAGCCAGAGACAAGGCCCCCAAAGAGCAATTACAGGAGCTCCAGAGAAGGTGTGGGCCCAGCCCCCAGGCATAGTTTCAAACAGCACAAAGCCCTGCCAGACATGTACTCACAAGGACACACAAGCATGCACACACACACACACACACTCAATAGCCTTAATCGAAGGAAAAATCCAGATCAGCACGAGGCAGAGAGGGACAAAATAGGAGGTGGTGAGTTAAAAGTCAAGATGAGAAGGAAGCAAACAGGAGGTGGGAGTATTTCTAAGCTGGGGTCATTTCAATCCAAAACATCACCATGTTATACTCCCCCACGTTTTTACTGCAACATTCTGTTCTGGTCGAAACCTGTTCCCTTAACAGCCTGGCCTGAAACAAAAGCTAAAACTCCAGGGCCGAGGTCAGTGTGCGCAAAACTTTCAAGTCGATTGTGCTCCGTGTGGTGAGTGCTAAACAACGCTGAAAAGTCTGGACAGCCTCGCACCATGGTGCCTGTCACAAATACGAGTCTGAAATAGTTTCTGAAGGCAACCGTTTCTGCCCCCCCCACCCCCACCCCACCTCTACCTCCACCTCCACCGCTTAAAGGAGAACGACAAGCCGGGTAGGAACAAGCATGAATGATGGGAGAAAAAGAAAGAGAGAGATGTGCAAACAGATAAGGGGGAGGGGAAATTAAATTAAGAGAAAAGTTCTCGCGCAACGGTATGCACCATTGATTTCCTATTCTCTTGGAAACATTTAATGAGCTTAAATAGGAGCCTCGTTTGACACTGCCACAGTGACTCGGAGGAGCCTCCCAGTGAGAGGAAATCGTTCAGCGGCTGTGACGGCTACCGGAGGGGGTGGAAGATGGAGAGAAGATGGGGGGGAGGGAATGAATGTTTTAATGCCAACGCAAGAGACGTGAGCAAGACAGATGTTGGATTATGCTCGGGAAATGGTCCATGGGTAGCTTTACTTGCCTAGTTCTCAATGAGGAGGAAAAAAAATGAGGGATGAAGGAGATTACTGCGAGAGAGGCAGATGTTGGAGGAGGCTAAAGGTGGTCTACATTCAACCGAGCTGCCTAGTTATGTAGGTGCTTACTCACAACAGGCACTCATTATAACCCAACAATGTCCAATCTGATTGACAGTTACTGCTCCACTGCGGCGTTTCACCTCATTACTTCTTGGATGACCTCCCCGCGTGGCATTCAACAGATGCAATTGCTCGGCGGCCATCTTGTTTTTCTACCCTGCCTCCTCTCTTTTCTCCCTCTATCGGCAGGAGAACTATTGTCACTTCAGAGAGCAAAGTCCAGAGGCGCTCCGCTGCTCTCTGTCGCTGATGAGGGCCCCACTGGGAACCATCGCCGCTTTATGAAGCTGTCTGGCAGAGTGAATGCACTCAGCGTCCCGCCACCTTTTGCAGGCAATCATGATAATAAGAGTGTGGAGTCGGGCATGGCTCTACACTGGCACCACAGGGGGGCTTCCCCTCACCAACTGCTGGGTTTGGTAGTGTGTGTGGGTATGTGTGTGTCCAAACTAACTGTAAAGAATCAGGGTAGACATATTACAAGTAAGCCAATACGAAAAAGAAAATGTGGACTTCGATATTTAAAAAAAAAAAAAAAAAAAACACATTTCAAGCACGGAAATTCTGGCAATGTATCATGATATATATTTACATCAATCCGAGAGTTATGTGATGAGTTTAAATTTGATAGACACAGTCAATTATATGGTCTACAGAGGCGTCCTTGTAAGGATTCCAATGGAAAAGTCTGATCGCCAGACACTTCAGCAATAAATTATGTAAGCAAAAAATTGATTGATTGCAAAAATGATCAAAAGCTGAATTATCTGTTGTAGCTCCAGTATGGATTTTTTGAGATACAGTTCAGTTCCAGAGTTTATGTTTGTGTAAATGCAAGAGGCAAAGTGAGATAAACCATGTTTTACATAAAATCAGAGGAAGCCTGTATGGGACGGTACTTGTGCAGAATATTAAACAGACTTCAAGACTGACTCCTAGCACAGACATGTGCTTATTAGCATGTAAACATGTTAAATCATATGGTGCATCTGCAATAGCTGCTGTTAAGTGGTTAAGCATAAATATTTCAGGTGCCTGTGTATGCTTTTAAGTCAAACATGTTTTCTGGTTTATAGCAGCTTGGCATTCCACCAGAGTCTGTTTCTTATATTAGCAGGACAGAGAAGAGTTCTTCAGTTCGTGACCCCATTTTTTATCCCCCAGCATTGGCTCAACTGCTGCGAGAGCAGCTGGTTTGTACCACCTCTGAGTATCTATCCAGACAGATGCATAGTAAGCAGCGCTGCAGCCAGTGTGGGTGTTTTGCACAACTGGCAGCAGTGCTGAGGCCATGTTTCGGTGGGCTTTCATGTGTGACTTGCAGCAAAAGTTGTGCTGAGGGAGATTTTTTTTATGAAAATGAGTCTTGGGCTGAAACAATCATGTGATCCTCTGGTGATTAATTACGGCAAAAGAAAACAACCTACACAAGTGTGCCCTGTTTCCTTCTGTGGAATTCCACATACAGTAGGCGTGCACTCCCACACATACATACCAAGTATAGGAAACTGAAAGTGACAGAAGCACAGGGGCAGCAACTTTGGAGAAGGCATGCTCTAGCGCCTAAGGCTATGTTCAGACTGAGAGCAAAAGTGACCCAAATCTGATTTTTTATTTTTTGCTCATATGTGACTAAGGTCTTTTCTTTTTTTTTCCCCTTTCTTTTTTCCAAACAGTGTGAACACCACAAATCACATGTAATCTGATTATTTCAGTTTGTCCATATGTGGTCCAAAATCTGGTACTGGTCTGAGTTTTTGCAATACAGCCTCAGCCTGAATAGTCATAACGGAATTGATGTAACTTTCACATCCTTCTAGATCAATATTCATCATAATTATGCACCGCTGAGAGTCTATTGGTGAATCGAAGGAATGTCAGACTTTGCAAAAACAGGTTTGACAACATACAGTAACCTGCTCCTCCTGCCAGCCTCCATGACCCAACTGCTACGTCCTTTTGTCAGGAGGAGGGGGTCACCTGAATTAGGCATTTTTGTGCGAGAGGCACGCAAGAGTATGGC